AATGTACTCTGTCTGTCAACAGCGTGAACTATCTCTGCGCTCCACCATCAGCGTTACGCAACGCCAAACTTAAAGGTTCGTATTTATTTTATTTATTTATTTAATTATGTTTAAAGTATTTATATATGTTTTTGGAGAAGTCCCCTCCCAATAAATGTCATTTTGGAAAATCTAACTGCTCACTTTTACTCAGTACTTTTAATACCTAAGTCAATTTCGTGTCAGAAATTTACTTTTCGATACTTAAAAAATAAAATATCAGATACTTCAAGACTTTTACTCAAGTAATATTTTTACAGAAGACTTTAACTTTTATCAAAGTATTCTTATGATATGATACTTGTACTTTTACTCAAGTATCGCTTTCAGGTACTTTATACAACACTGATTATAATTAAAACTTATGTGTAAAAATGTGATGTTTAGTCAAAACACAAAGAAAATGGCACTTCCGTGTGACGTGATCACGCAAAGATCTGTGCAACATCCGCTGACGGCACGAGGCTCCTCCTGGAAAATCTTGTGGAATATTCATTCGCTGGAGGTAGGCAGCCTTATCTCTGCAGTGTAAATAAAAATTAATAGCACATTATCATGGAGCTCTGGATGTTAACAAACATCTCCGAACGAGAAGCCGAATAGCCCCCGACTTATTTATCATTTTGATATCTTCGACAGCATGTCTGGGATCTAAGTTTCCCTGTGAAGTTTTTAAACCAGGTGTTTTTGTTTTAATCGAAAAAGAAGTCCCCACATGCTCCCGGTATTCGACTAATAATTAGTTTTTCTCGGGATAGCTGGTATGTTGTACTCTACAGTATATTGTTCTGAATGTAAATCAAGCTGTTGTAAGCCTATGTACAGCTCTGGTATCCACCATCCCACTGTTCTTAACCAGTCTTCTGTTCTCACGAATGTGCTCCCTCAGGATTTGTCTGATACCCAACAAGGTAACACATCTCCTTTCCACCAGTCATCACCTGTTTTGGTTTCTCAGGATCAAAGTTGGAATCAAGAGACTCCTGTTGGTCAGACAGCCAAGGAAAGTTTCCTCTGTAAGCAGTATACTCAGGTTGTGTCTACCTCATGCTCAACTGGAGGCACTTTCATTTTAGATCGTAAGTCAGCCCCAGATTTTGATGAACCATCTGAGAGTTCAGAATCCAGTGAAGACCGGGTTTGGAGACCATGCAGAAAATGTGAAAAGGAGGTGACAAAATTGAGAGAGAAGAATGAGAAACTTGAGCAAGTCCTGGAAACCATAAGTGAGTAAAGTATGATTTACAGCTTTGTGTATTACACATTTTTCAATTTATGAAAAATAGGAGCAAAAATTACTATTCATGTATGAACATTGTACACACACACACACACACACACA